TTGTGTAACCTCAAAATATAACCCTGGCCATTTTATTATGGTTTCTCTAACCTAAAATATTTTTTAGTAGTTAGCTCCCTTATGTATTCCAAGACCAAGATTATTACCTTTGATGGAAAAGATGCAATCTTGGATTTTGTAGGACGGAATTCCTATTTCAAGATCATCTTTAGCCCCTCCAATAGGTCTATATGAGTTTGTTACAAGTACAACTATCTTCAGGCAGCAAGAACATCAGGGGGAAGCTTGCTAGTGGCATAGTCAACAATGTCCTAAGAGACCAAAGATCACAGTTAAAGCCGAAAATTGACTACTAGCATAGCCTCTGGAAAATCCTAAAGATCTGCAAGTCAATATCAAACAGTATTCCTACACTTCCTAACACTTGATCATTACTTAAGCATCTTGTTGCCCGAGTGTACTGTAGAACTAAATTAAACAGATTAGACTTCAGATCAGATGACCAGCACCAAAACAAGATCACATATATTATTTTTGCACCTAATACTCAATCCAGAAAGGCATTGATTCTCAAATATTTTATGATACTTATTTTATGCTCAGAAGATAAAACTGCGAACATGGATATTCAATATAAGTAAAAAATAATTGCAGGAATACCCAAGGTAAGATGTGACCATGTCCAATCCTAATTGCCATACCAATTAAACAGCTAACAAGTTTCTACTGTTCATACATTCTAATCCTTGCCAAATACAAAATGAAATGACTAATTTTATAATCTAATAACCGGAAGAAAGTAAACACCAAGCGTACCTCAAACAGTTCATTTATATTATCTGCTGTCTTTGCAGATGTCTCTATGAAAAACATACCATTCTTCTCTGCATATTCAGTGCCATCCTTCATGAAAACATTAAAGTAAACTAGGTAAGAAACGAATTATTTTGCTTAAAGGACATCTGTATTATGGAGGAAGGTTGCAGTACCTGGACAGCAACTTCCCGCTTCTCTTGAAGATCAGCTTTATTACCGACCAGTGCCATCACTATATCAGGGCTTCCATGTTTTTGTAGCTCCTAAATTATCACTATTTCAGTTGCTAAAACAAAATAGAAAGAAATGTAGCTCCTAATAAAACAGCTCATAATCTAATGATTTTGTAATACGTAAGATATATATAACCGCATAATTGCAGTACATCAAAGAGTTGTCAAAAATCAGTATATCAAAGAGGCTATTTGCTGTGTTTTTTATTCTTCAGATAAATTTTCCAATGGAATGGAAATTTGGAGTGAAAATGTGCAGAACTAGATCTCAATGGAGAACCCAACATCAAGACTAGGAAAAGTTCAATACAATATTAGAAATGGTCAGCGTCTAACTCAATCCCAAAGCATCCTTCTAGTTGTTTGCAGAATTGAACATCCATGGACATACACCTCACCCACCTCACGTGTCCACCACGTTTGAAGATACCAAACTTCCTCTGAACACTTCTATACCATTAATGTATTCTTCTGAGCAAAAGTAATGCAGGTTTACCGAGTGTTTCAATCTTTCATTTTTATATGCCTGTTGCTTTATCCTTCAAATTTTCAAACAATTTGTCTGCTCTGAAAGCAAAAGACAAGCCACCACAATTGAAGGTATCATAACTTCATCACACATTCCACTCATTCTCTTTCCTTATCTCTAATCTACCAATATAAAACCTTGCAGTACAAGCAGGCTTTCAATTGTTGCACATCCTAGCTTACATAATCATCACCCAATTACAGATCAAAGACAAAACATAAATTTCTTTAACCTCCTTGTTAACTGCTTTTCAGTAGGGGTATTGCCATGTAGTCTAGTCATGATGCACATCCATCAGGTTAATTAATTAATTACAAATGTTTTAAATGAAGGAAATGGATTAATACAGGACGGTATTCTATTCATCATTGCAAAGTTCCAGACTAAATAATACATGGAATTGTTTGTTATTCGTATTGTTCAAAATTTTAAATAACTAACCAAGCAAGAAATGACAAAATAGAACAATGCAATAACTGCAAATATACCTTAACCCAGTACTGTGCTTTGCTAAAAGATTCTGGGCTTGTTATATCATAGACAATAACTGCAACTGCTGCACCTCGGTAATAGAGAGGTGCTAATGCGGCGTACCTGAAATAAATTATTAGCAAACAAATATTACTTCAAAAAGAATTAGACCTTGAAATAAAATAAAGGGAAAATGTTAAGAGAAACAGAATGTATTAAGAAATGGTATATTCTGTAAAGATAAACGACAGACACCTCTCTTGACCAGCAGTATCCCATATTTCAAATTTTACTGTTGTAGAGTCTTGCAGAGCTATTGTTTGCGACAAAAAAGAAGCTCCAACAGTCACCTTACCTCAAGAAGTATAAAACATATAAGAAAAATTTCATGGAATAATAAGTCATAGACACTATTAAGAAAGTTTACATTATTAAAAAATAAACTAAAGTACCAAAACAAATGCCACATATTCTTACTTTGGATGTTGCATCAAACTGACCACGTACAAATCGTAGAACAATACAGCTTTTACCAACACCAGAATCACCTAAGAGAACAAGCTGTTTTCAGTGACATTTCAAGGTTAGTTATGGTTTCCTTTAAAGGTTAAACAAGAAACTACTAGAGTATAACAGAATTAATTATGATTAATTTCAATTGAATCCCACGCTCCTTCAATTTTTATAACGGCACTATGGCCACTTCCATCCATTTAGCTCTAAAATTATAACCAACAAAATATTAATGGTTTTAATTTACGCATAATACAATCTATAACCATCGCATAATGACAATTTACAAAACTAATGACATCAATTTCAACAATAAAAGGGTTAAATTCTTGCATTTTTAAAAATTGAAATACTTGATTGAACCTTGAACCATGAGAGAGTCACGTCATGTTGTTGCATTTTTTAAATTGAGATACTTAATTGAACCATCTATTAATAAAGGGCCTAAATTGAACAAAATAAATAAATATTAGGACCAAAAACATCATTAAGCCCACAAATCACTTGACTTTCATCCATTGCAATACATTTCCCATTCATTCATCTTGATAATTAAAGGTCATAATCTTATCAACAAATGAAATCCATTCTTTTAGCAAATCAAATTTCTGGTAGTAAGCTATTTCAACATTTGTCACTAATTAAAGTATCAAAACTTGCAACAAGTAAGAAATAACAATTCACAATCAAAACAAGGCTAGTATGACAGAATCAAGATAAATAAATGGTTCTCAAGCTTTTAGTCATTTAGCTAACTAAAAACAGGGTTATGTTCTGTTTCAGCATGCTGCGGCTTTCAACAAAAACCAGGAAATTAATCTGCAACAGAAAACGGAAAGCTCCCCAGCTTCTCTCTCCGAACATTTATATAAAATTTGGATTTAAACCTAACTCAACCCCAGAATTAAGCTCCACCAAGAGGTTCCTGCTTAAAAATTCTATTCAGAAAATTTCCCCAGGTAGTCAACCACGGATCTCTTAACAATTGGCTTTCTCACTCGACAACAAATCCAACATTTACAAGAAACTGGTAAATGCATG